GAGCTGATTTCACTGCTCTGAGATGAAGTAGCCTGCGTGGCAGGCTCTTTGGATGAAGGGTAACTCGATACTTTTAAAACGATTCGAACTGCATCTTCGCGGTCTGGAATAGGCTCAGCTGTTTCGATCATATCCACTAATGAGTCAAAGTCATCGCATCTTAGATCAATCCAATCCTTGTCTCTGTCCATGTATCTAATACGCAACAGCTCAGTCGGTGGAATGTCACATTTTTCATGCAAGTATTTCACTAATAACTCCGAACTAAATCGCTTTATCTCTTCCTCGCGTAAGAAAAATTTAGAATAATTCTTATGATGACCATATGAGTCATATTCGACCTTAAACTCGTACCTTTTTCCTTTCATAGACAGCACTTTCAGTATAAACAAATACACGCTCGAATACACCGAGAAAAACACAGCAAAGTTTTGAGATAAAACGTGTATGCCTTTGTGGGCGGGTCGCTAACGCTTTGTGGGCGTGGCGGTCGTGCGAAATTTTAGTGGCTCGCACACTTCAGTGACATCCGTAGTAATATACCTTTAAAACACTGAAGTTGATTAATTTTAAGAGGCTAGCTACATTGTCCATGACAAATTGCAAAGAATGAAGATATTACCCATATTTTCCTGCAATTTATCCAATATATAGTTAATTAAATATGCCTTCGCCCATTAGTACTTCTAAATTGCAAATTTCGACATACTAAAATGCTGTTTTCTGACCATCAGAGTTCTGTCAAATCTTCCCCCAAAGTCCGGAAAATGGCATTTCAGGACTCAAACTTGAAAAATTTCCTTGGGCCTTCGCTTTCAGACCCCCAACTCATCACAAAGAACTTTCTACGGCACTGCTATCCATAGCATTTTCTCTTCAGTTTTGTTGATTTTATATACATAATACAGCTGCTATTAAAGAGCTTTCTCGAAGACATTTCAAAATATATGTTACAGTTTATAAATATTAGGCTGTTAGCAATATGGAAAATTTGGACCAGGAATCAAAGTCACAGCCAGAAATTTTCATATTTTCTGAACCCTGCTTTCCCACTGGGCAAATTTTTTTTGGAGGAATGGGAGTTCACTGTGTCCTATTTTTTCATGGCAATTTTTTTTCACTAACCAACTGACCACTGAATGCAGTTTAAGCTTGAAGGTACACTACCGACTTTACATCTTCAAAAAGTAGTACAGAAACCTTGAATTCCTTACCCTTTTGAGATGCTCAGAATATTTTATATTACTAATAGCAATTGTTTTTAATAAGAATAATGTTGAATGTTTGTCCCACGATTACTAGAATAAACCTCAACAAAATTTAGAATTTCCAAAATATCATATTGTATCCCCTCCCGCCAATTCCGGACACTTTTGGAGAGCCCCCCTTGTTAATATTCCAGGACTACACCACCATAAGAAAGCAAAGATATATAAGAATCCAAAGACAGAGTATGAAGAAGCAGTTAATGATGCAGCTGTACACATTGCATTGCAAGACCCAGCTGCTTTGTTGGACAGAGGTATATCTACATGTAGTAGTGCAGATATATTTGCATAGTATCCTGCATCAAATATGGGATAATAAAAATAATTTTGATGCCCTTTCATTTTCATTAGCGCCCTTTTGTTAAGGAATATGCCCTCTTGTTAACCAATTGCACCCCTTGCCCCCAGCAACTTCCGGCATCCCTGTTGTGCATTGTGGAAAAGGTGATGTTGTATTGCTACACAACAAACATTGGAGCAGAGAAGCTGAATGGAAACTTTTAAAAGATCCAACTAAAGGAATTGTATTGTGATGCTTACTGTAGTATGTATTTTGAAAAATTGAGCTGATGTGATCCTCAGGAAGGAATGCAAGGCTCTGGGATAATTCGTTGCTGGGAGCAGAGTTCCAAATGCGGCCTTTAAGCCTGGAAACTCCACTTTCAGAAAGTTTCCAATTTAGGCAATTAATTTGTAAACTTTCCAAAATTAAGTAGGAAGTAAAGAACAATCTATAGGCTTTGAATAATGGCAGTGAAAGGTTGCAGTAAACTGTTAAATATACACTGAAATCTATCATAATAATTTATATATTTTAGAATTTTTAAATAGTTTATAAGCAGCTTACGCATTGCCTTCACAACCTCATATATGTGTTATATTTATATTCTAATGGCTGATCTAAATAGCTTAAGATAGTAAGATCATCTTTCATTGTAATCTTATTACAATTGTCAACGCATTGGCTTCCAACCGTGACAAAACTTCATGGCCTATTTTGTTATGCGAGAAAACTGGAAACAACCTAGTTTTAATGACTCTAGGTTGTTCTCAGGTTCTTGCACACTAAAAACTAGGTTGATTCTAGGCCCTTCGCACTAAAAACTAGGTTGTTTCTAGGCCCTTGCGCACTAAAAACTAGGTTGTTCTCAAGCAGCCAAACTCCTCGGTCAAGTAAACATCTGCATGCCTAACATACCTAGCTATTTCATTAATAGAATATATATGCACAACACTTTTTGTCTTGTGTCTAATATAAGTATTCTTTGATAGTAATTATTACTTATTGTAAAGTTCTATAGAGTAACAGCATTGTCACTGTCGTGATAAGTGTAATAGCTTAATGATTTAACATTAATTTATTGCGGAAACCCTGCAACTGCAGACAGTGTCAAGTGGTTTGAACTTTTCAAGTTTGGTATACACTTGCAGAGCCGCAAGAGACTTTTTGTATCAAATTAAAATGTACAGTTATTTAAATTAATAAACAATAAGCAGTTCACGATATTTTTTATTAAATAACTATACATTACAAAAAGCCTCTGTCGACAAAAGTGTCTTGTATAAAAGGAAATTCAGCTTGATGTAGCAAAGATTTCAATATATAATATATTATAATACTGTAATTACTCTATACAGTATTCTGATTTTCAACAACATTGTCTAGTATATTTTTCCCGCCGTTATATTAATAATAACAGCTTCAGAGATGAATACTAGATATATAGGTGATCTTAATGTAATCTTGATGTTATAAAGCTAGAATTATATGTTTAGTTGCCATAGCAATAAACAGACAGATTGTACGCAAGTAGCTTCGCGCCTCAACACGCATCATAGTCTTGGCCGTCGAAAGTTACTTTGTAACTATACGCATTGCGTCATTTTCTAAAAATTGATTATTTGATGTCACAACATGAGTTATAAAACAAGAATTGTCGTCTTTTTATTAAATTTAAGTGAACTTCTCTGAGAAATATAGTAAAAAGAAAATTATATAATGCCGAAATTAACAATAAAATGTTAAGAGCTAGAAGCTATAAGTCCGGCATCAGACGATGTCCTTTGATAAATTGTGCCTATCGAAATTTTTGGCTCAATAACTTGAAAATTCATTTGAAATCGGGAAGATATAAAATTAATAACATTGTTGTGCTAAGTAAAATTTTTGAAATCGTCCGAAGCAATTCTCTCCCAGAAGGAAATCTCCTCCATGTTGAAGATAATGAAGTTATTCAAGTTGCCATGCCTATGGATTCACAGTTGAGAAACATATGACATTGATCCAAGATCAAGTTGCCACAGTAGTTCAACAAGATCGCAAAGCTCAGCAGGTTCACAGGAAACACTGCATTCCCAAGAGCCAATAGCCAGTGTCACTGCTGACACTGATGAACAATTTAACGACCCTCTGACCCTCTTACAGTTAGAGAACCACTTCAACCACAAGCAACAGCATCGTCATTGAGTCACGAAATTCACTCACTGCAAGAAGCTGTTGCATCCTTACACACTGCCATTCAAAAAATCAAAATTAATGAGAGGGACATGAAAACTGTTCTTGTAGATGCAAAAGCAGTTCTTGAGAGCAAACTTTCTGAAATAGATCAGCACTTAGACAAGGCCAACAATGTGGCCTACCATCGTTGATAACAGCACGCAATCATTAGTTCAGTTGCAAATGACGTATCCTTGGCTACAAATAAGCTCCGGTCACCACCAAATGCACCGTTAGGTGCATGTTGTCTATGTCAGCACCATTTTTACAAATACGTTCACTTTGAGGTTACTCCAGCATGCAGAATTGGCTTGATTGTTCTGTTGTGCTTGATAGCGATCATCACGTGCAAAGAGTTAAAAATCATGAACAGTCAAAATGTCATAAAAGCAGCAAGTCAGCAGAAGAACAAAGAAGAACAAAGAAAAAGGAATGATATCTTATTTTCCTCTCAAGTTGCTCAAAAGAAAGAGGCAGAAGTTACAGAAAGGTTCCTTTTGTGATGTTATGGACTAATACAGTGCCATGTACCATATATCCATTCATGACATATCTGCACCATCTTCAAGAAGTGGAGGTGGGAAACCGACACCTAACTGATATGGCTATGGCCAGTGTTTCCGATTGTATATATAACGTGCAGTTGCGATCCTTGGTGCAATTCATTCATTCACCCCCAACCCTTCAACGGCCAGTCTTCGGCACTACCATCTATCATTTGACAAAGTAACAGTTGAACATATTACATGTCAAGTAGTTAATCTCAGAATCTTGCATCTTAATGGAGAACCGGTCTGTGTCAATGGGAATCAAAGTGTCATTTCTCGACATGAAGATCCTGTACCAGATTACACAATCAGCCTTGGAGATATTCCCTTGGCCGATCTTACCAGTGATGTTACCAGTGACGGATCTTACCTTGACCGATCTTACCAGTGACGGATGAAACCATTGGTCAAATTGTATCTTTGCCATCTTCAGACTGTGAAGCTGTGTATACAGGTAGAATTCAGGGTCTTAAGCATCTTTGGAAAGAGAAATTCAATCGTACTCATCTTCATTTTGCTGATAGGGCGCACAAGATTGAATCCATGATAGGGAAGATTCGCAAAGAAGCTGGAATGAGATGGCTCGATAAAATCTTAATCTCAACTGGGTAGTATGATCTCAAAAATTTGCCAATCACCAAAGCAACATAGAAATCTTAGACATGCTGCAACCCTCGCTGATTCACTGGTAAAGAGTATTCTTTACCAGTGATTCACTCGTAAGATTTATATGTTACTTGGTTGGCTCAGTTGATGCTGTTTTAACTAATGCTTATGTATTCAAACTACTCAGGCAAGAACAAGCTGCTGAGGGAGATAACGAAATTTGTGGTCACTTGAAGAATTTAGTGAGGATGCTTTTTCTATCAACATTACTTATACTCGCCGACATATTTAGTCAGTCCGCATTCACAAGTGAAGCTACACAGTCTGATCTGTATCCATTATGGGATGACAAAGCCAATGTAGATAAATTTATTGGAAACATAACAAAAATGGCATAACAAAAATCCCTTGAACAGACGGCTGTGTTTACAATACCCAAGTATCGAAGAAGGGAATTTTATGCCAAATTTTAGTAAACCCGATCAGCAAGTCAACATTTTACAACATGATGTTCAATTCCAACCTCGGGTATGACACCGTCGAAGCAATTAACGTCAGCAATATTACAAGAAGCTCCAATATTTTTAGCGATGGGCGAACAGGAAGAAAATGTAATAAAGATGTTTGATGTCAAGTCGTTTGATTACCACAGCTCTGAAAGTCTGTGTGAACAAAGTAACAATGAATTTATTTCATTTGCTAAACAGAGGTAACCTTTCATTTCCACGACACCGCTGCTGTGAAGTATGTTCTGGGATAGATTGCTCATGCTTTCTTGACCAGTACATAGCTTTTAAAGAAAGAGTCCAGGATAACAAGGAGAAATTCAAGAATTTTTGGTTTGAAGCACATCAAATTACATGGAATACTTCAATGTTTTATGCTGCTTTCATCAAACGGAACATGGCGTACATGAAGGTATACCAGATTTGGTTGAAATCATTGAAATTTGCCTTGTTATGTCCAGATCTCAATCAGATACAGAACGATTTGGGAAAATTGCTAAAGATGTGTCCGAAAAAAGATTTGGAAAATTTAAAGAAACGCATGAAGACCAAAATGAAAGGGACAGAGTTAATCAGGAAAGATTTATTTATGGTAATTCATAAATAAATTTTTGAACATCTGAGGAAAGAATGGAGTAAAACGCATTTACCAGCCATTTTAAGGACCAATCCAGACAAGGAAAGTTGGACCCTGAAGACTCTCCGAAATAAAGAGCAAAAAGTAAAATTTTGGTTTCAAGAACAATAAACATAATTAAACAACGAAGTACACTTAGTAACTATTTAGCACTAATAAATGAAGTACTGTATTAACAATACTCAATAGAATTTTTTCTGTGTTGGTGTTGTGTACTCAGGTGAATAATATGTTTGCGATGTTACTCTGAGTGCATATCCACACCGGGCGAGCTTGAAAAATATGC